ATTCCGGAGCATGTGGAATGTTCTAGAGAAGTGCCACTACCATTCAGCTTTTATTTATAAGGGAGATATATATAATAAAATAATTCTACTTTTGTTATTAATAAAGAAGAGAGCACTATGCAAGCATGAAAACCTCATTCCCTGAGCAGTACAGCCAATGCTCTTGAAATTTAAAAAAAGACATCTGGGGGGGAAGGGGAGCCTGTTTTTTCCCACTACTGTGAAAGTCTATTTACCTAAGCTGCATAGCTTAAAAACACCCCCAAAACCTGGGTGAGTGGGGGTGGGGACTCTGGGAGCCACCCTTGACTCTTTGGGGTTTTTTGCCAGTCAGTTGACAACTTTAACACTGATCAAAAACAATACAACTCATCCTATTCTGGCATTCAGATTTCACTTGATGTTATCCACTTACTTTCAGGCTCATCTGAACAAACTGAAGGGCTAGATTCCAGAATGTAGTATACATAGCACAATAAATAACACATCCAGTAACTGAAATGACAGATGCAATGAAGAGCAGCCCAATAACACAAAAAAATGACCATAAATCAGAATGAGCTATGCAGTAGTTAGGGGACCTCTGTTAGAACAGTTCTTAAATCGGCAAAAGCTAGAAAAGTTACATTATCAGCAGTCATTACTGTTGTGAACCACCTCTGCTCTTATCTTTGTATCTATGTGGTTGGGACAGAGGAAGAAAAACTGCAAACAGGAAGGCCAAACGGCCATGAAATGCTAAAGGTACAGTCTGACATTCTGAGCCCATGCTCACATCGCCTACAAGTGTCATGGACATGGTCTTTCAGACCTGCTATTTGCTGTGGATAACACTTGAAGACCCTGAATAAGTGTGTTCACCACAAAAAATATATGCCCAATAAATCTGCCAAGTGCCATGGGACTCTGTCCTACTTGCTGCCACTCTAGAAATAATTTGCAGTCTACATCTTACTTTGGAACAGACTCTTGGCCCCTCTGAAAGTTACCTCAATATCTACACTGTATCCAGTGTTCATATATTAAATGTGGCAATGGAGTTGCAACCCCAAACAAGACACCATCCAGTGTTTCTATGAATAAACAACACGGTTCTTAGGACAGTGCTGGGATGGGAACCCTCTCACCTTGAAAATGCAGATGTGCACAAAGGCTTCTGATTAAAACAAAACTGCTGCTTATCTCATGGCTTCAGTGTATCAACCGAAATTGCAGAGGGAAACTCAGAAGTATTTTTGGCTGCAGCTGATAACGGCATCAGGCGAGCGCACCCCACCAGTGCTCCCAGATGCTGTGCATCATTGCACTATAGCACTCTGTGGTTTCCAGTGGTATTCGAGGGAACCCTCTGACAACAAGGCATACTTATATCAGATACAAGAGATTCTTTAGTTAATCTAAATTCTTTGTAAGCCTGTCCTTTGGGTTTTGATAAATCTAACCCTGGACCTCTGGATCAGTGAGGAAGTGGTCTTCTGTCTATTGGAAGTACGTCATCTTAATGAGAACTCATTACTAAAACTCCACCCCCTGCATAACAGAGCCGATTACTAATCACCTTTTCATTCCATTGCCCAGAGCTGCAAGACCCTCAAAGGCGTGCACACACCTTTCTGCAAATCTTGCCGGCATTTCACAACCCACCCACCCCCATCTCTCAAGTCAGTGCTGTTCTGTGTGGCAAATGGGATCAGTTATAGTTGATTCACAGATGTATTTATTGATGTGATGTACACTGCCCTGCGTTCTATATGGGGGAGGGCGGTCTAAAATTTGAATAAATAAATACAATTTTTAAAAAACCCTTCTCAAATATCTATGTAGAAAGGCATGAAAGCTAAGAGGAGGGCCTGTGGCTTGGTGGAAGAGCTTCAGCTTTGCATGCAGAAGGTCCAGTCAGGTTCCATCATCTGCACCTCCGGCAAAAAACACAATCACTTAGTAAAGGTAAAGGTACCCTTGCTCGAAAGCCAGTCGAATCCGACTCTAGGGTTGCGGTGCTCATCTCCGTTTCAAAGCCGAAGAGCCAGTGCTGTCCGAAGACGTTTCCGTGGTCATGTGGCCGGCATGACTAAACACCAAGGCGCACGGAACGCTGTTACCTTCCCACCAAAGTGGTACCTATTTATCTCCTTGCAATTTCTTGCTTTCGAACTGCTAGGTTGGCAGGAGCTGGGGCCAGAGATGGGAGCTCACTCCATCATGCGGCACCCGGGTCTCAAACTGCTGAACTACTGACCTTCCACAGCCTGCAGTTCAGCGTCTTAACCACTTGTGCCACCTGAGACCCTAGAGAGCTGCTGCCCATCAGAGTGGACAAGACCAATGGTCTGAGTCCATATAAGGCAGCTTCATGTGAGCAACACACATGCATTCCCCCCCCACACACACATACAGTCTCCAGGACAGCAGAAAACAAAGTAAACTAGGAATCTATGGCTGATTCTTAAAAGCACATCCACCATTTGCAGACTTTAAGAACTTTTGTTTCCTGGTGCGAGATCACCCTCTTTTATTTGGTTTCCTGGTTTATTTCTTTAATTTTCCTGTGCACGGCTTTCTTTCTTTCCTTCCTCGGCAGCGGCTGCTATTTTATTTTTGCGCAAGTTTATTAAAGCCATCCATTAGAAAACAAAAGCTCTTCCTACCCCTGCTCGTGTTTATAATGGATGGAGTAATTCATTAATGGCTTTAATTAAGATATAATTTACTTTGGTTTTGTATATTGTGTCAAAAAGATGACGGCTCTTATAAGTCCTGGGTATTTTTAGGCAGCTGTTTAAGAATGGCTTTCGAATGGCTCTTTTTATTTTCTGTGAGCCCGGCTGGGGCAAGAAAAGCCCAAGCGGCAAAGCTGACGTTTGAGATGGAGAATGCCCAAGTCGTCTTTGCGTCACTTAAAATGTAAAAAAACCCCATCCCTGCAACTTCTCTAAAAAGAAAACGACTTTATAATTAAAAGGCCTAATGCAGCTAGCTTTAAATATATCTCCTTCTAAGAGCTCCGTTTCATTTGGATGGTTTTTATTTTGTAAAGGTGCGTTCAGAAAGAAAGGCAACACGTCAGTAGCTCAGCATTATCAAATGTGGTCGCTGTGCTGGCTTCTGATGCGGCCTCTGGCTCAGAGGTTGGCATTGTGAAAAGCTCGCCTTTCCTTACAAAAACAACTCAGTCTTCTAGTCCTCATGGGACCGGCGCAGGCAGAGACAACAAACCCTACTGGGGGGAGCAAGGGACATGCAAGGAGAGGTGGTCCTTCAGGCGCGTGGCCCCTTTGTAGGGCTGCCATTCTCCACGGGGAGCCTGAAGTTCTCCTGGAATTACAATGGATCTCCAGACTACAGATCCCTTGCAAGAAACAGCTGCTTCAGAAGGCAGACTATGGAATACCATGGAATCTAGGAAGACAGGAGTTCTAGAGGGATATCACAGAACAGCTGAACCCCCCCAAAATTTGTGTTATGAAGGGCTTTTAAAAGCTTGAAGGCTAACATGGTGTAGTGGTTAGAGTGTTGCAACAGGATCTGGGAGACCCTGCCATGGAGGCTTGCTGGGGGACCCTGAGCCAGTCACACACTCTCAGCCTCACCTACCTCACAGACTTGCTGGTAAGGTAAAATGGAAGAAGAACAGTTGGTTTTTATACCCCGCTCTTCATGACCCAAAGGAGTCTCAGAGCAGTTTACAATCACATTCCCTTTCTCTCCTCACAACAGGCGCCTTGTGAGGCAGGTGGGGCTGAGAGAACTCTTGAGAGAACTGTGACTGGCCCAAGGCCACCCAGCAGGCTTCATGTGGAGGCAGAGTGGGGAATCAAGCCCGGTTCTCCAGATTAGAGACCCCTGCCCTTTAACCACCACACCAAACTGGCTCTCACAAAATGGAGGCGAGGGGAATGTTGTAAGCTGCTTTGGGTCCCTGCTGGGGAGACGAGTGTGGTGTAAGCGAAGTAAAAACAGATAAACAAAAATAGTGCAATATCAACTTTCTATCATGTTCCAAGTAAATGTTGGGGGAAGCGAAAGCCAGTGGCTCAGCAGCATACTTTGCTCAATCATCTCCTCAGAAGGCTTCTGTGCTTTCTGTTTTTCCCTGTTGCTATCCAGAATTCTTTTAAAAACGGCATCTGTGCGATGCTGGAACTTACATCAGTGGACTGGTCTCCTGCGTAGTGCCACATGTCATCCACCATGCTCATGAGGAGGTTCAGGCTGGCTGGGATATTGTGCGGCAACAACAACACGCTGATTGCCTGGGGAGAACCAACAGCCACAGAAGTTAATGAGGCAAGAAGAGACTTCCATTTTTAGAAAAACCTCTGACGCCTGGTGCTATGAGACAACATCAGAAGGGAGGACTTGGCTTCTGTGCCCTGCTTGTTTGGAACTCCAGAGCAACTGGCTAGTCACTGTGTGAAACAGGGCATTGGACTAGGTGAACCACTGGTCCGATCCAGGAGGCCTCTTCTTATGTTCCTAAGAGACACTCTGAGCCCCTGATCCTATTTATTCAGGTGGTTTCCGTGCTGCCTTTCCACACAGCCTGCTTGAGGTGGCTTAGGAAGCAAACATAATTCGGAACATGAACACTGTAGAAGCTGTTAACAATTAATACGCCGTTAAAACCCCAGCATTTTAAAATCGGGCATGAGCAGAAAAAACAGCCTGTCGCACTCTTAAAAGGAGTCTCGTAACATACTTCCCAGGCTAGAAGCAAACTGTAAAAATCAGTGAAAAAGAACGACCCCTTAATTAAAAGAAATGTTTTAGCCTTTTGCCTGGAAGGCAGTAGGGCAGACACCAAGCAAGCCTCAAGGGAAAGGGCATTTCACAGGCAAAGGGCCACCACTGAAAAAGCCCTGTCTCTGGTCATCACTCTCTCTCTCTGAACATCGAGCATATCCAGCTTTTATTGTTTTCTGTTCTTTAACTGCACCATAAATGCCTCCCCAACATGGATTCCTTGTGGTTTCCACCCTCATCAGTACTATTCCAACCCCAGTGCTTCCTACTGACTTCACTTGCATCCTGTCTGGAAGATGACTTTTGAGTCAGAAGACGTCTTTGCTCCTCTGCCGAAAGAATTCTCATATGAAGTTCTCCAAGTACACCGTCTATATGCCAGGTGCCCGACATGCAGCAGCAGAGCACATTAAGGGTTTCATGGTACCACAAGCCGGCTGTATTGCATTCAAACTGCAGCTACTGGTTTGTGTTCTTTGGTTTGCCAGCCCTGATCTGGATGGCCCAGCCTAGACCAATCTCGTCAGACCTCAGAAGCTAAGCATGGTCAGTCCCGGTTAGTATTTGGGAGGCCACCAAGAAGTCCAGGGCTGCTATGCAGAGGAAGGCAGTGGCAAAACACCTCTGAACGTCTCTTGTCTTGAAAACTCTACGGGGTTGCTGTAGGTCAGCTGTGACTTTTCACCACCAGAGTCCACTGAGACTCAAGGCAGATTACACTATGCAAGTCAATAAAAACAACAGGACTAGGGATACACTAATATGAACAAAAGCATTAGTATTAGATGAGGTTATAGATGAGAAGAAACCAAAACGAATAACAGGCATACAGCACCCTTATTGTTAGCCTGCTTCCGAATAAAAGGCGCAGATGGGGGGGGGGGGACTCACTGGTATCAAGTGTCCTCAAAGCTAGTCCACAGAAGCTTAAAAATAAAAGAAACTGCCTTTGAAAGGTCTTTGCAGTGAACACATGCATGTGTCAGACCCCTGAAGGGATGCGTTTAATTGTATCATAGTATTAGAACTTGGAACCAAGCATCCTTGGCATTCTGCAGCATTCATCACTAAGATGTAGTAATTCACATTCCAAGACTTGGATAGGACAATATTGGGAGGGCCCATCTTCCAAACAGAAGGGGGTGCTGAAAGACCATGTTTACAGTTAACTCATAGCCCATGCACAGTAGTCAGTGGTGTCTTGTTTCTACTCCATGCAGCCTCTGGAGTATAACTCTATACCAGCTTTTGATAAAGTCATGAAAGCAAACACAGCTCTATGACAAAAAGCATATTAATCTCCGTCTTGTACCTGGGGCCATTTCTCAATATACCTCTGGAGTATAACTCTATACCAGCTTTGATAAAGTCATGAATGACAAAAAGCATATTAATCTCAGTCTTGTACCTGGGGCCATTTCTCAATATATGGAATCAGCATCCTTAGTCTGGCTTCCACAGCATCCTTTAAAAACTGGTCTGTCTTCTTCTTCCTTTAAGAAAGGGGGGGAAGGAACGCTTATTGTAGTTTGGCTGTGATCCTTACTCTTCAACCAAGTTCATTAGCTAAGAAGCACCAGGAAAGCCACCGCCACAAAGATCCCAATGAGGACCAAATTCAAAGGAGCATTTTTTGAATATCCACTATTTCTGCCTTCGGTATTGGTACAGCTTTTAACACAGGGCCCGGCAACCCTTTCTAATTAAACAGCCAAACTAACCCAACATTCAGAGCAAGAGCTCAACAAGGAGCCAGTATAAGAAAGCCTATCTGCATAACTGAAACTGCACAACCTTACTGATAATTGATATATTTGAGCAACAATCCATACAGTTTCTACAGCCTAAGCATTGGGTCTTGCAAGTGTTTTATTTTATTATTAGCAGTGGTAGGCATGAGATCTCACCATATACACGGGAGCATCCTGAGTGTTTGCTTCAGTGCACTGGCATAAATCTGCGCATGGTTCACACGGATTCCTGGCAATTCTTCCCCTTTAGATTTTCCATTTCTCTGAAGCATCTCTGAGAAACCATTTAGTCCCATAAAAGTCTTTGCCTGCCAGTCCCTTCACAGTCTCATCCCGGCATCCCACCTGTCCCCTCCAACATACCTTAACAGATTTCATGTCCCTTTCCCAAGAGCCCTAAGGTTGCTGGAGTCTGCTGGGACACATGACCTCCCCGCGGCTGCGCAGCACTTACTCTGCCTGACCCAGCTGCACCAGCTTGTGCTGCTCCTCCAGAAGTTCAGATAGCTGGGAATTGCAATGGGACACAAAGTGCAGGACCAGTTCACTGCCATCGTTCTGAAAGAGCCCTGCTGCAGCAACAGAGAGACCCAGTGACTAAAAAAAGGAAAGGAGACAGGTTGAGTTCTCTCTTGATAACTTTTCTGAATAAAGCGTGCCCTTTTAATCTAGCAATTCAAACGAAACTCTCATTCAGACACTCATTCTGTCCTGTAATGTTCTGACTTACTGGTCTTCCCAACTCCCAATGTAAATCCTTTGTCTTTGTTCTTATCACTTCATTTCATTTCTCATTCTTAGCACTCTACTCATGGTCTGCCTCCCCCACCCCCCCGTTTTTCTCTATTGTTTCATATTAAGCACAAACTCCATTGTTTAACCTTTAACAGGGTTAGGGCTCTGGGGTAAGTGATGCTCTGTCTTCTTGGTGCTTGGGGGGGGGTCAACAGTGGGAGGGCTTCTAATGTCCTGGCCCCACTGCTGGACCTCCTGATGGCACTGGTATTTCTGGCCACTGTGTGACACAGAGTGTTGGACGGGATGGGCCTTTGGCCTGATCCAACATTGGCGTCTCTTATGTTCTTATGTTCTTAGGACATGCCCTAACAATCCTTTCCTGGGAGCAGGGCTCTAGTCGGGGGGGAGCTCTCAGGTACGGAGCTCCGGAAGAGAACCTCTAGGGGGCGGGGCGGTCACGTGGTGAAGCCCCGCCCCCTTCTTTACCCCGCCCTCTGCTTCGATCCTCATTCCGTTTGGGTAAGTAGCCGGGCCTTCTGACACACTTCCGGTGATGTCAGGGGGTGTGGCCTTCTGTCACTTCCGGTGATGTCAGGGGGCGTGGCATATGCAAATAAGTTATGCTAATGAGTTATGCTAATGAGCTCCGGCAGCTCTTTTTCTACAACAAGACCCCTGCCTGGGAGTAAACCTCACCGAATAGCTATCAGTAGGATTCTGAGTAGACCTGCTTAGGATTGCACTGCAAGTTACTTCATGGTGTTGTTCCTTCCTATCTAGCTGTATTGTTTGCTTTTCCCCTGTTCTCCTTCTCAGAACCTCCATTGGTCAAACCTTCATTTTCTTACTCTGCAACTAACATATTGTGCATTCTCTCAGACCAAGTCCAAAGTTTCTCTCTTTTCTCTCTTCTTTGGTCAGTATTTTTTCACACTGTAATCCTATGGGCAGAGACCTATTCATTTTATCTACTTATTATTTATTACTTTGGATGTGTAAATGGCCCAATCCCTGGACACACAAGGCTCTGGGCGATGTACACCAGTAAAAACAACGTTAGAATTAATAGAATCTGTAAGTCAATTACATAATCTCAGATGGCGTCAATAATTTTCTTCGTGCCGACTCCAGACTGTTTGATGGTACTATGAAAACCTAGGTCAGGGGTTCCCAGCCTTTTTAAGGCTGTGGGCACATTTTGAATTCTGACACAAGGCGATGAGCACCTGGGATGCCAAAGTGCGGGAGATAAGAAGGGTAAATTTTAAAAATACACTGAGAAAGGAGAGGGGGGGGGAGAGAGAGAATGAAACCAGCACTGTAGTGGCAGTTGTTGCTGAAATGTTGTTTTAATCTTTACAGCCAACCAGATCTCAAATTGGCAATCAGACAACCTATTGGACAGGAGCCAATCTGGGCCCACCCACTTTCTGAAAATACTTCACAGGCATCAGGAAAGGTGTTGGTAGGCCCCAGGGCACCCCTGGGCACCATGTTGGGGATCCCCGATCTAAGCAGTTCTGCACTGCACACGAGGGAGGATGCTGAAGTGAAATCCATTCAGTTTTGGGCACTGCACTGAAAGCCTGCATCCGAAGGCCACAGGTTAGCAAAGGCTCTCCAGGTTACAGAAATGGGAAAAACTGTCAGCTACGCTGGTCCAAAAGAAAAATCCAAAAACCCAGAACACAAGCCACATCATACCTTCTGTTAGGACCCGCCAAATGACAGGCATTCATCTCCTAAGCTAATACAATGACCGTGACCACCAAGGGACGTCAAGAGAAGGCAACACGAAGTAAAATGATGTAATTTGGATTTATTTAACTTACACCTCCTAAATTTACCTCCAAAATTAATGCAACTACTGCCAAGTGTTTTCTTAGCTCTCTCCTGAAACAAGATGTTCGTTCTCACCAGGATGTCTTTTCTGGGGGAACGCACCGAAACGGAGTTCCAGAACCTCTTCGGCAAAATTCTTTTTAAAAAGTTTAAAAATTCATGAGCTTCCAGTATATAGATTGAAAACTTCATTTCCCTCTTGAGAGTTCCAGCACCTCTTTTTCAAAACAAAAAACACACAACCCAAAAAACCCCTGGTTCTCACTAGGAAGAATTTGCTGTTATTGTGTTTTCTGCGGAATGTATTTTTTTCAGCTTTTGCTGATTAAAAAAAACGGGGGGTCATGGGATGCCAGCCTCAGCTCTGCATCTGCCATCTAAGCACAATGCTGACTACACGCATACATACACATAAGAAGCTGCCCTATACTGAATCTGACCATCAGTCCATTGAATTCAGTATGGTCCATTAAGACTGCCAGCCGCTCTACAGGGTCTCAGGCAGAGGACTTTCCCATTACTTACTACCTGATTGTTTTAATTGGGGATGCCAGGGATTGAAACTGGGACCTTCTGCAAAAAAGGAAACAAACGCTCTACCACTGAGCCACAGCCCACTTCCTGGACTAGACCCGTACTTTACATCATGTCCTAGCTTTCTTCTTTTCCTTTTTTTGGTAACATCCGATTGAAGAAGACTTCTGGAGAACTCAAAAGCTAGCACACTGTTACATGTTAATGGCCAGGCCCTAAAAAAAAGGAGTATTATGTGAGTTGTGTTCTGGGGTTTTGGATTCTTCCAAATTACAGTTAAGTGCAAACTGCGGCCCAAATCAAGCAAAGTTACAGGGAAAGGTTTTAGCACGTGGAAAGATTTACTTCCGGGATCAACACATTTTAAAACCATCAGCATCATGTGACCTTGGAAATTGTTGTTCTACAAGAGTGTGGGTGGGGCTAAAGTTTTTCACCTAGAATTCATACGTCACCATAATAGAATACCACCAAATCAGTTCTCTTGGGAGCCCCTGTGCTCCCTTGGGGAATCAGCCTTCTCGGCGTGTACCTTGGCACCCTCAGCAATGGCATCCACTGTCCAGCCATGAGTTGGCACGAACTCGAGAGATGCTGTCAGGATCCGAAGCTGCAGCTGTTCCTCACTCTCATAGCCTTCCGATTCTTCACCACCCTGATCAGTGTAACTAGGAGGGGGGAAAGAAACCTTCATCACATTTTCATCCTGCCCTTCACCCAAAGAACTCAGAGAAGAGTTTACAGCCCCCCTCTCCACCATTTTATTATCATAAAATGTCGTATAAGGTAGGTCAGGCTCAAAGAGTGAAAGATGGCTAGGATTCTGAACTCGGGTCTCCATTCTCCTGTCCGACACTCTAATCATTACACCACAACAGCTCTCAAAAAAAAAAAAAAACCCAAAAGTTTGGCTGCAAGGAAGTTACACCTTGAATACTCTCAAACATCCAAAAAACCTTTGCATTGCTGGTTACCCTGACCCCCTTTTCCAGAACCATCATTTCTAGTACAAAAATAGTTATTTATTTAATTGTTGGGGAGATTTTTATTTTACCTCTCCAGAATCCTTGTTGAGGTGGGTTATTTTTCAAAATCAATATTAAAAAACCCAAACAAGCTAAGGGACACAAAATTAGCAGAAATCAAATCATAAAACAAACCTCAGGTCAGAATAAGATTTCCCACAGTTCCCTCCTATTCACATGCTTGGCAAATGACAACTTTGGGGGAGGGCGTTTGAGTCTATTAGGAAAATGCCCCTGCCCCCAAGGAACACCCCTTACTCCCACAGCTGCTTTTTAAATATTAAAGAAAAACATCAGGAGATCTATTTTGCCACTGTGGTGTGGTGACCAGAATGCTGGTCCATGACCGGAGAGACCCAGGTTCGAACCCCCACTCTACCATGGGAGCTCACCAGGTAAACTTGGGTCAGTCTTTCTCTCAGCCTAACCTAGCTTTTGATAAAGTTCCTCATCAAAGGCTCCTAAGTAAGCTCAAAAATCAAAAAACTTGCTAATTAATAGAAAACAGAAAATTAATAGAAAACAGAGAGTGAGTATAAATGGGCAATTTTCTCAGTGGAGGGTGGTAAGCAGTGGGGTACCGCAGGGATCAGTACTTGGTCCACTGCTTTTTAACTTGTTCATCAATGATTTGGAGTTGGGAGTAAGCAGTTAAGTGGCTAAATTTGCGGATGATACGAAGTTGTTCAGGGTGGTGAAAACCAGTGAGGATTGTGAGGCACTCCAAAGGGATCT